TGGATACAAGAGATGAACTAGGGTTTGAGAGGAGATGGTGCTGGTGAAGATGTTGATGGAGATTGACCCCCTCCCGATGAGAGGATCGCTGGTGATGACGATGGTGATGATTTCCCCCTCCTGGAGGGAAGTTTCGCCGGCAGAACAGCTCCGCCGGAGCCCTAGATTGGTTCCGCCAAGGTTCCGCCTCGTGGCGGCGGAGTTTCGTCCCGTAAGCTTGCTTATGATTTTTTCCAGGGTAAAAAACTTCATATAGCAGAGGATGGGCACCGGAGGTCCACCAGGGGGCCCACGAGGCAGGGGGTGCGCCCAGTAGGGGTGGACGCGCCCCCCACCCTCGTGACCAGGGTGTGGGCCCCCTCTGGTACTTCTTTCGCTCAATAATTCTTATTAATTCCAAAAATGACTTTCGTGGAGTTTCAAGACTTTTGGAGTTGTGCAGAATAGGTTTCCCATATTTGCTTCTTTTCCAGCCCAGAATCCCAGCTGCCGGCATTCTCCCTCTTCATGATAAACCTTGTAAAATAAGAGAGAATTGCCATAAGTATTGTGATATAACGTGTAATAACAGCCCATAATGCAATAAATATCGATATAAAAGCATGATGCAAAATGGACGTATCACCTACTTCTCATGTGTCTATAAAAGAGAGACACACCAGAAGATCACCTCCCTCTCGCCATCGAGTTCTGATCTCTGAGCTACTGCTACGATCTTCCCCATTCTGGCTTGCGGTGTGCACCGCAGGTCAGGACAGTAGACCTCTAAAACCCCACCTCTTTGAGTCCTGTACGGGAGAAGGGTGATAACGTTTTTGGGGAGCGCTCTACGCGACTACTGACCGGTTCATCACAAACGCTCTAGACACCAACGACCACTTCCCCAATGACGACTTCTTCCCCGGCGTCGACAACCTCTTCGACGACATGGCTGAGGATGTCGACCCCAAGGTCAATGCATCTGCCACTGTTCTGTACGTGTTCATGTTCTTCTTGTTCGAATTCCTACCGCAGTTTCTTCTACTACTATCTTTTCTAGATATGTTCCGTTCTAGTTCATATGCGCAGATGCCATTTTCCTTCTCTCTGTTAGATGACATGACATGTTTCATCTCTACTATATTAGTCATGTTTTTTCTAGTATTTTTGTCAATATAATCATATGGTAAATTGCTCATATTTCCAACAATAGTTTGGAGTTCTCTGTTGATGTATTAGTGTTGGATGTACTAGTAGTTCTCTGTTGATATGTTAGGTAGTTCTCTGTTTAATGGCATTAGTCTATCATTTTTAGTCCTAGTTTGTCCTCAATCATTCCTCATTAGAGAAGTTATCTGTTGATGTACTAATTAGTTTTCTTTTGATATATTAGAATTGCATGGTTAGGTTCAGTGGCATTTTCAGTCTTATTCGGGTTTCATTTTCAGTTTTAAGTCATTTGTCAAGTAGTCTTGTTTTTCAGTTCTTAGATTTGTGTTTTGTTTTGCTTTCATTTATAGTTTTATTTACCTTGTCATTAATTATTCTTTACGATTAGTTTTTTGTTTCTTTAGTCTTGAGTATAAGAATATGTTTTGTAAATTTCTTTGTGTTTTTTAGCTATCGGTGTTTCAGGTTTAGGTTCGTTCTCAGTTTTTCTTTTTTCTTTTTGGACATATGGATCTCACAAATGTTTCTCTTTAGAGATGGCATGCAACATCTGCTTGTCTAATGACTGCGGAGACCGCAATGCAAGCGCCCGATCATTTGGGATTTGGCTACCTAGAGATTTTAAGTGATCAATGGCAAAACCTTTTTTCCCACCACAAATAGATTATGAGCGCTCAGTGGTAAAAAAAAGCATTTCATTTTATTTTCGATCAATCACCAGTCTTTTGTAGTTTTTCTGTTTTGATCAGTATTTCACTTTAGCCTTATTTTTGGGAAATTTAATTGAATTTTTTGTACAATTTTTTTATCACATGTATCTCTGTACATGACTCACAACAGCAACTATGGGTATTCTTTATTCAACTGTCTTTTTTCTTGCATGGAACACAAGGTACAAATCATATTTTCTTTGTTTACTATTATTTTTGCAAATTTTTCAGCATCTGCAGCATCACGCCCAACTGGAAGAAAGTAGGCTACTCATACCACAAAGCCGGGTGAGCCGTGGGTGGGTGGGTGTTTTGGGTTAGAGCATCTCTAGCAGACCCCTTAAAGACACGACCCTTAAAACCATGGATAAGGGCCGAGAAAACATGGTTTAAAGGTCGAAATCGGCTGCGACCGAACAGAGCCCGCAAACCTGAGCGGTAAAATTAAATATCAGACCGCGATTTTGACAAATAAAACACAAATTCTGAGAATTCGAACATAGTTTTGACGACATTTGAACATAGTTTTCGCGCCACAACCCAAAAGACATCGCATCCATCATCATCATCACAAGATGAAATGTTCACTGCCACCATTGCCACCACCACTTGTCGAACCACCATGCTTAGCGAACCTTGGCACCGCATGGCCTCTTGCGGCTAGCCTTCTCATGTCCAAGATCTCCAACCTTACTATATCATGCCATTCTTGGGTGAGCTCATCCATGTCATTTCGATTCATCTTGTTCTCCTCTTGAAGGAGCTCGACCATGGCTTTGTTCTCCTCGGCTATGGCTCTTCTCTCCTCAATGGCAGCCTTGCACATGGTCTCCTCCTTGAGTAGTTGCCACTTCTCTTGCTTCTCTTGAGCCTTCTTGTCGGACAACTCCTTATTTGCCTCCAATGTCTTGATCACCAATGCCTCATTGGACTTGACCATGTGGTCTAGCTTGTCCCGCAAGCTTGATGCCTCCTCTTCCCTCTTGATCTTGTCCTTGGCCTTCTTGTTTCCACCGGGCTTGTTCTTGTTTCTTGGGCCATCGTCATCTTCATCCTCATCATCCATCTTGGTGGGTGCACCTCTCTTCGGTGGGGATTCTTTGTCAATCAACTTCTAGTTCTCGCTATATTGAAGAAGTTTCCAACAATGCTCTAGTTGAAATGACTTGCAACCGGAAGCTTCCATGTCCTTGTACCTTTCTTCCGCAATTTTGTCCTACAAAATGAAAACAATGTCAAATTATGCAACCACTCCCATGGCTACAAATGATTTGCACAAACTTTTTGCACAACTGGCAACAACTCACATAATCAGATTCAATGGTACCACTTGGAGGTGCATCGCGGACTTGCTGTAAGCAAGCAGTCAAACGGCTACAAATCGGCTTGATCACGTCCCAGTGACCTTGGAGCGACCAAAAGGTGTGTGGCGTCCTGTTGGGATACTTTGCTATCATGCGCAAGAACGTATTCGTTGCCAATACCGCTTGGCGGTTTGGTCAGTGCCGGTGCACGCTTCAAGAGACACCGATTCCCAAGCCTCGATCAAGATTTGATCTTCCAGCTGCGTGTAGTTCTTCGATCTTGTGCGTGATTTTGCTTGTGCTTCGTTGAACACCCCCTCGTCATCCTCCTTCACCTCATCTTCTTCCTCACCGTGACCGTGCACGCCACCATCAATCTCATTGTAACTGTAATCACCGATCGGGGCTTGATCGATGTCGATGGTATTGTCGTCCAACAAGTGCACAAATTCGGCAGTCGCATCATGCAAACCGACGCTACAATTTCTCTCAACAATTCACGAACAAGCACAATGGCGAATAGTGAAACAAGTAGAACAAATCGAAGCATCATACCTTGCGCCCACTTTGTCGAACACCTCGGGGGCGACGGCAGCAACGTCGTTGACGGGCATCCTCGGGGTAGTTCTTGTCGGGGCAATCGAGGGAGGTGTTGGCGGGGTAGCTCTTGTGATGGGCTTCTTGCTTTTCACACCCGAAACCTTCTCTTCGTCGACGCGGGCCGGACCGGATTCGCAGCGGCGACGGCGGTGGGCGCGCGTGCCTTCCTGGTGGGGCCTGCGAGAGCACCACCCTGAACGACGACATTGCCCTGCCGCTTGTGGGGTGGCGCGGTGGAGCCTTGAACGGCGACGGGCGCGACATGGCCGGGGCCGGCGACGAGATCTTCCGAAGGGGTTGGTGCCACGGTGACGGGCGATGGTTGGGAGGCGTCCATGGCGGCAATACAAAGCCAAGAAAGGTGGTCCGGAGCGGTGGAGGGAGGTCGATGGCGGTGGAGGGAAGGGGAAGCGGGAACTGCCGCGCGAAAATGTCCCTCCCGCCAAATATCGTTGCCGATAAGGGTCAAGCTTGGGTCGGCCTTCCACCCCGTGTATCTAAAGGTTGAGGGCAAAGATTTGCCACACCCCGCAATTTTTTTATAGGCCCCGGTCCGATACGGTGTTTATTTGGACCACTTTTTTCGCCCAGAACCATGAACTGGCAGTTATCTTGCGAGTTAGCATGATATAAAGGGTTTGCTAGAGATGCTCTTAGTCGGATTCTTTTGTGCACAAACTGTATTTGTAAACCCAACTCGTTTGAAAAGGCAACGGGGAAGGGGATTCGACCTAAAAGCGAAACAAAAACAATCATTTTCTCCGTTTTCAACTTTGGACTGAGAAAACAAATGACAACACATGTCAGCACACAACTGAACACAAAAATGACCTAAACCATTTTCTAAAATTAGATCCATGGGCACTGGGCTACATCCCAGTTCTCAAAAAGTTACCTAAAAAAAAGAAACAGACGTCTCACAGTTAGCCACTACTTTATCCGTCTGAAAATACTTGTCATTAAAATGAATAAAAGATGATGTATCTAGATGTATTTTAGTTCTAGATACATCTTTTTTATCCATTTTGATGACAAGTATTTTCGGACGGAGGGAGTACAGCACAACGAGGAGTTTTTTTTTTAGTGGTACTCAACGGGGAGTTAGCAAACGACACTTGAGGTCATTCCCACAGGCCCCAGGATGGGCCGCGTAATGTGCAGCCAGGTCGCACAGCCCGGCTCCTCCCCTGCTCCTCTCCTCTTTGCCCCCGCCACACCAAACCCCTAAACAGCCGCCATGTCGCCGCCGCCGCAGCCGCAGCAGAAGGACAAGGCAGAGCACGAGGTGCCGCGCGCGACGGTGGCCAGCGCCGTGGCGTCCCTCACCAAGTGGATGCGCGAGCGCGCCGCGGAGGCGCCGCCGAACCTGCTCGCCGACGAGCGCGACGACCTCGTCGTGCTCCAGCTCTCGCTCCGCCGCGTCCCGCCCAAGCCCACCACCAAGCCGCACCTCCTCCCGCTCCCACACCCCGTCGTCGCCCACTCGGCCGCCTCCGTCTGCGTCATCTCCGACGACCGCGCCGGCTCCGGCTCCCCCGCCGCCGCCGCCATCCTCGACGCGGCCAGGTCGCTCAAGCTGCCCGTCTCGGAGGTCGTCCCCTTCTCCGCCCTCCGCACCGACTACCGCCCCTACGAATCGCGCCGCCGATTCGCCGCCTCGTACGACCTCTTCCTCGCCGACCGCGCCCTGCTCCCCATGCTGCCCCGCCTCCTCGGCAAGGCCTTCTACTCCACCAAGAAGGCCCCCATCGCCGTCGACTTCACCCGCGCCGGCTGGCCGGAGCAGGTCCGCAAGGTTCTGAGCTCGACTTTCCTGTACCTGCGGACCGGGACCTGCTCGGGGATAAAGGTGGGCAGGCTGGACATGGAGGAGGATGAGATTGTTGAGAATGTGATGGCGGCGGTGGAGGCCGCCGTGGAGAAGGTGCCCAAGAAGTGGGCAAACGTGAGGGCTCTGCATTTGAAGGCTGTGGATTCTGTCGCACTGCCAATATACCAGGTTGTGCCGGAGTTGGGCATGAAGATTGAGGTTCCGGTTGGGCGATTGGAAGCAGGAGTTGGTGCCGGAGAGGTCATCGATGCTGCACAAGTCGAGACCGGCAGCAATCGCAAGGACAAGAAGATGAAGGCACTGAAAAATGCGGATGTCAATGGTGGAGCCGAAGGTGTGAAGTACAAGTGGAAAAGGAACAAGAAGGATCAGACTGAAGATGTTGTGATGGAAGAAGCCCAAGAGGCGAGTGAGAATAGGAGGAAGAAGGAGGCTGCTCCTTTGGAAGAGCTTTCCGCTGGTGAGGGCCTGAAGACCCCAAAGAAGGGCAAGGATAAAAAGCGTGCATTGGACATGGAGGTGGAGGATGCTAGTCCGGCAGAGAAGGGTAGGAAGAGCGAGGAAGCCAGCAACAAGAAAAGTAAGGGCAAGAAAGAAGGTAGCAAGCAAGTACCTGAGGAGGAGGAGGATGTTGGCAGCAAGAAGAACAAGGGGAAGAAGGGAGAGGTCAAGGAGGGGAAGAAGAAGAAGAGCATGCAGGGTGATTCTGATGATGGTGAAGTCCTTTTGGATGGGGAAAGTACTCCTGCTGCCGTTAAAGCTGACAAGGAAGAGAAGAAGAGCAAGGGGAAGAAATCAAGTGTCGATAAGATGAAGAGATCCAGGTCAAAGGGTCTAAGGTTGTATTAGTTTTTCCTGAAATTGCTGCTTGTCAGTTGAATGCCAATCTCAATTGAGACCAAGGTGCATGTTCTATGCATAGATAAGCTGGTTGATCTGATTACTGTTAGCTGTGAGAAGCAATCATTGTCGAACCTGCTTCAGTTTTGTATTAGGAGAATGCACTTGAGATTATACTGGTGAGTGTACGGGGCGCTGTGGGGGAATTTCTGGAGTAGTTTCTTCAGATTTTGTGCGAGTCTGATACTACTATGCACCTTTGGGGTAAAACCTATAGTGGAACTGTTTTTCTTTTCATCTTCTGTAATCCATCTGGTATGCAACAATTTTGTGCGAGTCTGATACTACTATGCACGTGTTGGTCTGTCTTCTCGAATGCACCCCCCGAATTGAGCCTCTTGATGTTCTGGATAGCAGGTATACTAAGTGAAATCCTGTATTCATGCTTCCATAGCTTTGGTGCTGGGCTTAGCTATTTACGTGTGATCTTTCATAGCTTTGGTGCTGGGCTTAGCTATTTACGTGTGATCAATCACTCTGTTCGATGAAATGCGTACTGGTCTCTCATATCCCTTTGCTTGAAGAAATGCTGATCTTAGCTCTGCCGTTCCCTTGTCTTCAGAAGCTCTTGGTCTACTATTTGGGTGCAGCAGGAAAGGGGTAACTGTGCTGCTGGAACGGCAGAGTTGTTTCAGAGAAGAACAGATTCCTTCTTCATAACTAAGAATGTAGACTTTTAATTCTCTATTTTTTACAGCGTCGTGGTGGATGACTCGTGTAATAATGTAGAAAAGCAGGGGTTACTTTTCTCTGTTTTGTTTTGTTCAAAGTTTTACATGATAAAAACAAGTTAAACATCCAAGTTCAGTATAACAGATCCTAACAAGCAGAAATCACTCACACCCGGGTAAATTTTAGTAGGAGAAAGTGCAAGAGAATACAGAAACAGCTGGAACATTATCTTTACTTAGCATTTTGTAATTGTTCTGAACATTCTGATGCCTGCGTTTGATGCAAAGTTGCTGCTGGTACGATTCCGCTATTATTAATATTCCATGTGGTCGAACCTGGAAGAAGAATAGCAGCAGGAGCAAGTGTGGCATAAAGTTGTTAATCAGGTGCACTCTTTGATAAAATTTTACCTTGTGCTTCATAGATTGCATGCAGGTAGATGTACATGGTTTCTCTTCTTCTGGGTGGTTGGGGATTTGTTTTGGGATGATTAATTGAAATCAGGGAAGACCTTTTCATGTTCATTTGGAGGCACTAGGGTGAATTAATTCTGATCCCAGCGTCTATATTTTTCTCAAAGTATACTCGGCAATTGCATCGCCTGTGGCCAGCACAAACAGAGTGTTGTCTTATTTTCTGTAGTCTAGTGTTTCCTGTACTACTGGCAGAACATATACTATTTGCTAGCTCTTGTTGTTACCTCGTTTTACCCTATGTTTTTGAGGCAAAGACCGTAGAACAATTGTTCTACGGTAATTTTCATTAATAATAACCAAAAGTATATGTACAAATGAGAAGCAATTGTTCAACGGTAATTTTCATTTTACCCTACGTTGCTCTCGGATCAGCTGTGAATCACAAATTATGACTAAATCTTATGATAATGATGACAACTGTTGGTACTTTAGGTGATATTTGGCTCATCAAATTATGACTAAATCTATTTTGATGCATGGTTGTACGGGCTAGAATTGTAGTTTAAGGCAGCAACTATACTGTGTGTGCTGCAGAAATGTACATGCAATATACATTGTGCCTTGCAGGCATAGGAGGGTTTGATTGTGTCTCAGTTGGTCCTTTATAATGCAGTACTAGAGATGTGAACGGATGGAGTTCATTTAGAGTATGAGTGGAGATCCTTTCCTTGCTTTCAACCGATGTATAGTTTAGTTCCTTCCTATATTAATTTGTGAAGTAGACTTAACAATTATACAATCTCTGTGTACTGGTACTCCGTTGTTTGGGCTTTGGCAGCTGGGAGATCAGTTTGTCATAGCATGTGAAAGTAAGTCTATTTACTTTTATTTACCTGCACTGTTGATTCTATTTATCAGTTGACAGAGGGTTTGTGAAACAGTAAGTTCAACATCATAGTGAAGCTTGGTGACAGGAACGTTTATTCATCCACTTGTGTTGTTGTCCTCCTCATTGGATGGTTCTGCTTTGAAGATATCAGAAGTATTCTAAGAAGTTTTGCTTTCTCTAACACTAAATAATCTGAGAGACAAGGGGTAAAGAGAAAGAGTATTTATGCAACGGTTTCATCGAAACGAAAGAGTATGTCCCTTTTGTCATCCTTGATGTGGGGGGAAAATGCATACAGTTAACTGTGCATGTTTTTCTGGCCAGAATTACTCTCATGTAGCACTGTCAGAAGAATTTGTATGTTTCCCTCTTCAAATGTTACAACTCTGTTCTCTAGAAATAGTAAAATTGCCGCTTTTGGGTCTGTCAAACACCATGTGACCCTTCACTGATTGGTGCTTGGGAAAATTGGGATGCCAAATATGAATCTGAGAATGATCATCCAAATGACTTTTCAAAATCTTCTGCATTTGACTTAGTAGACGCAGCCTGAGACTCCATAGGGGAAAGAATCAAGCACAGAGTCTCATTTGCTCTGGAAAGAGCACAGGTTGCCTGATCATACACCTGGGCCATTATTGTACCGATATTTTTATGTATTATTTTTTCACTGTAAGTAACAAATATACTTTAGTGCTAGCCGTGATCCATTAGTAGTACTGTATTAAACACTGCTGTTAACTGTTAGACCAGTAAGTTCTACAAATAGTCTCTCTCCTTATCTGGTTCAAACTTCAAAGAATTATGTATAGTCTCATGTTGGGTTTTTTCATGATTGCATTCCCTCATCTACATTCGGTGTAGTACTATCTTTCGTCATTTACAACTGCTTTATTGTACTGGGTTGAGTAACAACAACTACTACGTATCCACGAGGAATCTTATTGACAAATCGGTGCTTATTTTGTACAAAGCTTCCTTTTGTCCTGAAATGTGTTGCTTTGGGGCCATGTATGAAGTTATAGCCAGTCAATTTCGATAGGTTTTCTGTTACAAGTATCAAGGAAATTTGATGTTACGTAAAAAGCGGTTCCTCCTAAATCAGATTGTTTTAGGGAATAATCTGCTCCAAGGTTGGGAATTTAGTGGTTAGTTTTTCTTTGGTTGTCTCTTAACTAATTTATAGTGTTCAATTAATCAGTCTCGCTAAGTCTCAGTCGACTTAGACTTCGTTATGTCTCAGCCGGTGCTATATTCATTAGATCATACATTGAGATCGGTGCAAATTTTTCTTTTCAGATTTTTCTTTTTCTTTTTTACATGGTATGTCACTTGATTGAGGCTTCATTAAATCTCAGTCGACTGAGACCTAGCCACATCCTCAATTAATATAGGTACCTCCACAGTATTAATTGAATAGTTAAAATATCTCTGTCAATATAGGTCAGTGAAAATTATATCTGACAAGTATATCATGTTGTTATTCTTCGATGGGAAAATTTCTAATTATTCTCTTGACCATCTCTCTGAACCACATCCGCCTGGGTTTTGAAATGAATAAGGTAGAAGCCCATTCTACCTTTTATTTCGAAAAAGTCTGTTGACAGATGGTTGCTAAGATCTGGTGCATTTTCACAGGTGACATGTCGTTGCATCGTTTCTGGACAACACTACAAGGCTCTTGTGAAGATATAGAATGGTTGCACAGAACTCAAATGTCGCTTATTCAGCTGGCGGAACATCTTTGCTTTCAGGAGCATTTGCATGATGTTAGGTGAAAGGTTTCCCCTGTCCAGCCAAGTGTGAAGAGGAGCTGGCCCCTTTGACGCCGCTTGCTGTAAAGGGCTCAACCTCGTCGGCCGCTCAGCCGGGCTTGGGGTGTGTGGCGGAGGCGAGTGGGGGATGGCAGAAGGTGTTGCCCCGGCGTGGTCCGCGTCACCCCACGTCGCCAGCTCCGACAATGGCCCCGCGTCCCATCCCTGCTTGGCTGCATGGTAGATGCTGCAAATGCCTCACTTCAGGGCATCGTGTAGTTGACTGACGAGATCCGCTTCGGTGTTGTCGTTGCTTGGAGAACGGTCACCTTGCACGCGGTTGCCGCAATCGATGGCGTCCTCTAAGCTCTTTGGCATGCCTTGCCATGCCGCCGGTCCTCGGTATCGTGCATCGTCCTGCTCCAGCTTCATGTGAGGGTCCAATGAAATCCACGCTCCCTTCCAAGGCGCTTCGCCATGTGTCTTGGGCGTCTGTCGTGTCTACTCCTGTTGGCTTGGCTACACCGCTCGATGTGATGTTACAGTCCACTTTGGCGGATCAGACAGCGCTGCTGCAGATTTGCCTGGCGCGTGTTGGGAGTTTTCTCAAGCGAGCGAAGGCTGCTTTGAGCAGTCTCTCCCTTGCGCCGGCTTTGTCGCAGACCACTCCGATGTCACGCCCTCCTGGTGTGGCCGATGTTGGCTCCATTGAGAAAGGGGATCAAGAGCTATATGGATGTTTCTCCCCTCGTGTTGGGGACAGTTCATCGTCTCTGTCGGCCTCGTCCCCTGTGTTGTCTACCACTGAGGGTGAGTCCGTCGTCGTGCTTCAGGCTCCGGTGCTGCAGGCCATGCCCGAGCTGCGGGAGCGATGTCTGAGCCCTACTTCGCCATTGTCTGTGGAGCATTTGGAGGTTAACTCATCGATGACCTCGTGTGAGGGACATGTTTCGCCTCTGTCATCTAAGCAACTGAAGGTGCATGAGTCCATCATGTCGGCAGACCCTACGGTTGATGATGCCGTGTCGATGGTTCCTCTAGTTGAGGATGTCGATGCAACTCGTGTGTTGATGTTGGCTCCTCGGAGCCTTTTGGTGGACGACATTGACACCCAGAAATTTGAGGAGTTTTATGATTTTCTTGACAAATGGGTGGCAGATCAACCTCAATCTAGCAGAACAAGTGGTTGCCCCTCAAAGGAGAAGCCAAGAAGGGAGA